AATGAACTTGACAACTTTGGCGGGGGTGGTAGGAGAAGGGGATGGAAAAGGATGGGAAGGGGAAACAAAGGAGGAGGCAGCAATGCTTGATAAGAAATGTACTCATTATCTTGCCCATGTAAGTATAACCCCTCTATATGGTATTTTCACAATTAAAAAAAAAGGGATATGGAAAAAAAAAGAAAAAGTAAGAGTCGGGTGCTGGTGGCTCATGCCTGGAATGGTTGCTACTCAGGAGGCTGAGATGTGAGGATCGCAGTTTGAAGCCAGCCTGGGCAGGAGTTTGTGAGACTCCTATCTCCAATTAACTAGTGGAGCTGTGGCTCAACGTGGTATAATGATATCCTTGTAAAAGCTCAGGGACAGTGCCCAGGCCCTGAGTTCAAGCCCTGCAACTGACAGAGAAAAGAAAAAAGTAAGACGTAAGTTGCAGAAGGAAAGGCAGAGTTGGTGCTGAGGTAGGGAGCCACGCAAGAACCTGGGTATAGACATGGCCTCTTCACCTGAGCCTCTCTGTTCTTCTCCAGGAGAATCGCCGTCGGGCCAAAGAGGAAGCCTCTGCCATGGAGGAGGAAATGGCCCTGGCTGAAGAGCAGCTGCGAGCCCGGCGGCAGGAGCAGGAGAAGCGCAGCCCCTTGGGCAGCGTCAGGTGAGCCGTGGCCTTTGGACCTGGCTGAGATGGAGCCTGTCAGGGACTGGGCCTCCGTGGCCATACCGTTGAACTTACTTGGTCTGTGGCCTTCTTCCTCTCCTCATGGTCAGGCTGATAGCACATGGCTCAGAACAACTGTAATCACACTATGGGTCTTTCTGGCCGGCACCATCTGACTCAAGATTAAGTGTGAACTGTGAGTGTGGTCTGCGGGGCCCACTATGGGCAGTAGACACTCTCCAATCATTTGGGTAGTTCCTCCCAGGTCCAACTGGTTATCGCTGAGGTGGCTGAAGCTTCCTTCTGAAGCCCCCTAAGGGGGCCTGAGGGTTGTTTACAAATCCTTTTTAGCCAGGTGCTGGTGGCTCATGCCTGTAACCCTAGCTACTCAAAAGACTGGGGTGGGAAGATTGTGATTCAAAGCCAGTGGGGGCAGAAAAGTCCAAAGACCCTTATCTCCAGTTCACCAGCAAGAGGCTGGAAGTAGATGTGTGGCTCAAGTGGTAGAGTGCCATCTTCCTTGAGCAAAACTCCAAGTGAGAGAATACAAGGCCCTGAGTTCAAGCTATAGTACCAGCACAAAAAACAAATCCATTTTGAAGACTGAATAATAGATATCTGAATGAGATGACTTCCTTTATTTTATACTCTGCTGACAACACAGGCATGCAAGGAGCAGAAGCGTGCTAGGGATGAGATCCTCCAGTCCCGTAGCTGCCGCATACCTGAGTTAGAAAGGCTCAGGCTCTTTGTCCTGACATGGTGCGGAGTGGTGTGTTTCTTACTCTTTCTTTCTGTATCTCCAGGTCCACAAAGATTTACACGCCAGGTCGGAAGGAGCAGGGGGAGCCCATGACACCTCGCCGCACACCAGCCCGCTTTGGGCTATGAGCTGAGGGTGGCACCAGTACCTGGGTGCTGTGGACTCCATCTGTGCCCATCAAGGAAGGCTTCTGGAGCCGTTCCTGCCAGGCCAGGCTCCACCACAGAGGACAGAAGGAGCTCTCAGTGCAGGCGCTCGGCAGGTGGAAGCCCTGGAGCAGCTGCAGTGCTGCCCCAGCTGCAGGAGGTGGCTGGACCCATCACACCACATCACCTGTCCCTGGGACGCTTGCTGTCTAAGTGTCTTGGCTGTGACTATCTTTTTTATCCTTGTATAAAGCAGCAAGATAGACTTAGAGGCAATTGTAATTTGATTATGATTCAAGATTTGGAAATAAATTTATTATTTGTAAAATGTGATTGCATTCCTGATTTCCTTTTTCTTTACCACCCTACAGTAAAGTAAGGAGGGACAGCGTGCCTTTCTCCTTGGATGAGTCTTCCTGGGGCTGCAGATGGGAGCCGCCAGTGCCTGGCACTAACTGTCTTAAAGGGCGTCTTGTATACTTAAGACTTAGTTTCTTCTATTGGCCTACCTGTCTTTATGTCAGTACCACCCAGTTTTAATTTCTGAAACTTTATAGTAAATGTGTGTGTGTGTGTGTGCGCGCGTGCACGCACGTGCGCATATACATGCTGTGTATGTATTTGTGTGCTGGTCCTGGCCTTTTGCTCTTTCTTAGCTTTTTTGCTTTCCCTTAGGATTTTTGCCTCCAGGCTGATTCTCCACCATTGAAGCCACACCTCCAATCCCAGCACTTGTTGGTTAATTAGTTAAGAGTCTCTTGGAGGGGCTGGGAAGGTGGCTCAGTGGTAGAGCGCTTGCCTTGCATGCGTGAGGCCTTGGGTTCGATTCCTCAGCACCACATAAGCAGAAAAAAAAAAAAGCTGGAAGTGGCGCTGTGGCTCAAGTGGTAGAGCACTAGCCTTGAGCTGAAG